TTTTTTTTTAAACTTTTTGATAATAAGACTTGTAGTGATCCTCCTGTCTCAGTCTCCCCAGTGCTGGGATTACAGATATGTGCTGGCATGCCCAGTTTTGGTGGCCAGCGCAGTGCTGGCATGGCATGTGGTACTGGGGATCAAACCTGAGTCCTTGAGCTTGCCAGACAGGTGTTTAGACCACTGAGCTATCTCCCCAGCCTAGAACAGTTATATTTATAGGGTCTTGGTTTTCTTCTGGATTTTTTTTTTTTTTTTAAATTATGAGAGGATAATTAGAAGGGAGAGAGGTAATAAAGATTTAACAAGACTAGTATTTGATAGTTCAAGATGAGATAAAATAGTCTTCTAGATCCTGTAACTTTATTAAATACATAAAGGATTGAACCCATAGTACTCTGCCACTGAGCTACAATGCCATCCTTTTTTTTTTTATTTCAAGACTATTTCACTAAGTTGTTGCAGCTGGCTTTTAACTTGTGATTTTTCTGCCTCAGTGTTTTAAGCACCAGGGATTGCAGACATGTTGCCCTACACTTGCTAATGTCTTTTAGGTGACATTAAATGAGATTTAAAATGTTATTATTGAATAAAACAGTTACTAGCTGATTTCTAGTCAGCTAAACATATTTGTAGTTACGTTTTCTAAAGAGAAAGAAAACTTAAAATTGGACCAGTCTGATTACAAAATGTGAACTATGTCCCTGTATTCCTTGTTACTATTGCCTTAGTTTTACTATGTACTATTTCTGATTACTGTTCCTTAGACTTACTATGTATCATTCCTTGATGTTTTCTGTTAGAAAAATTGTCAGACTTGAATCTGTTATAGCTAAGTGTGGATAACTACAAATATGAGCTTGCAATGGTGAATATTTGATTAAAGTTGAAATAACCTGTGAATAACTATGTAATATTTTTTCTTTGACTTTTAAGTATGTTGTAAAGGTTTGAAATTTATTTTGTTTGTAGAAGGGAATGGCTTAATTTTATGTGATAAAATGGAACTTGGGGGAAATGAAAGATTTGTATGTGTTCTTTAGTCTATTCGGCCTGCCTGATTTGGTAACAAAGGTTAAAGATGATGCTGTGCTGTAGATAAACGAATACATTTCTTTGATTGGGAAGGATAATAACATGGGCAGTATATTGAAATTTTAGGGTTAGATGTTCTGTAAAGTCACAAGGATATATTTATTGATTTTTAAGGTAGAATGTAAGAGGCATCTGTGGAGTTAGATGGTGTTCTTTGTAAAGCCCCAGACAGTCTAATAGTGGCTATCATGGTAGAAAGAAGTTAGGGTCTCCTGAGGAGGCAGTTTCAGAGGTTGTATGTACAGTAAATATTCTGACCAAAGAATTGGGTTGTCATTTTAAGTTATTTTTGAGAAACAGACTTTGTGTTTTGCTAATAGTTTATAAGTTTTTGGGCATGTTGAAAACTTGAGATTATTGCTTTGTGGAATATTTAAAAATTTGGGGTTTGGCATGGTGGCACACACTTGTTAAATCCACACTCTGGAGGCTGAAGCAGGAGGGATTACTGTGAGTTCTAGGCTAGCCTGGACTACATGGGAAGTTCAAGGCTAGACTGGATTATATGGTAAGACCCTGTCTCAAAAAAAAAAAAAAAAAAAAAAGATTGTGATACTTTTAGAGGTCATTAGGGAATAATACATGGGTGAAAAAAGCAATTGTTTTCTTTTTCTTCTTGACATACTCATTCTTATCATCCTAAGAGTGATGACTGACATTCACCCATGTATCTGTTAACTGGTTGTATGTTCAGGTATTTTGTATACTGATTGGGGAGAAAGGGAGTTTGTTTGTTTGTTTGTTTATTTATTTATTTTGTAGAACCAGGGATTGAACTCAGGCCCTTGTGCTTGCCAGGGAAGCGCTTATTCCATTGAGCCATCTCCCCTGCCCTGGGAGTTTATTTTTAAGGGAATGTTTTGTCTACAGACAGAAAACTTCAGAGGGATTCCTTCCTTCCTTCCTTCCTTCCTTCCTTCCTTCCTTCCTTCCTTCCTTCCTTCCAAATAAGCTTGCTTATTTGTATTGTTTTATATATAAGTGGAGCATTGGAAGGCCCACAAAAGTCCTTAAGGAGGATGGTTTGATTACTATAGCCCATGGCTTGATGTTGCAATTGGCATAATTGTGGAATAGCATCTGGATCATTCCTATGAGGAGTTAGAATTAAGTCCTAGTACATATTAATCTCTCTCTCTTTTTCTCTCTCTCACTCTTGAACTTTCAAGATAAAAAATTTAGTGAGTGTATTGATTATTCCCATTTTGTTACCTAAAACTAATCACCTAAAACTAATCATCTTTACTACTAGTTAGTAACTGTTTTAGGAAGTAAGTTTGCCATATGATGAGAAATGCACTCTAGGCTTTAGTTTATCCATATTACTTTTTTTTTTTTAATTTATTTTATTTATTTATTTATTTTACATTTATTTATTGTGTGTGTGTGTGTGTGGCCAGCTCAGCCCACCAGGGGGCGGGGCTGGCTGGCATGTGGTGC